GATCCCAGGACCCTGGGATCATGACCTGAGCCAAAGGCAGACACTTAACCATCTGAGCCACCCAGGCGCCCCTAAGGTATTTTTATTTATTTATTTTTGAGAGAGAGAGAACAAGCACGAGCAGGGGGAGGGGCAGAGAGAGAAGCACGCTCCCCACTGAGCAGGGAGACCGATGTGCGACTCAATCCCAGGACCCTGGGATCATGATCTGAGCTGAAGGCAGACGCTAAACCAACTGAGCCACCCAGGGGCCCATATGTTGACTTTAAATCATTGTATTTATGTCACAGGATATCAAGAAGAGTAAGCATTGTTCACAGATTTTACCTCCTTTTCTGGGGAAGGGGTTAGTGTGTTTTTCATTTGACACAGGATTGTTGTATCATGGTAGGTGGAATTATGACCTTGTTACTGTCTTTGTTTGGAGATTAAGTGTGGTTTAAGGAGATGTGTATGGGTGCCATGTCAACAAAGGTGGACTTGTGATTGTTAATTTTATGGGTCAATTTTATGTGCTCAGATATCTGGTTAAACATTATTTCTGGGTTTGTCTGTGAGGATGTTTCCAGAATTAGCATTTGAATCCCTACACTGAGTAAAGAGGATTGCCTTCCCCATGTGGGCAACATCATCCAACCCACTGAGGGCCTGAATAGAACAAAAAGGTAGAGGAAGGGAGGATTTAGAGGAAAAGACACGGAGGGACGAAAGCGGATATGGCACCTCTCTCTGCCTGAGTGCTGGATGGGACATTTTTCAATTCCTGTCCTTCAGACTGAGACTGAAATCTATACCACCAGCTCTCTGGTTCTCAGGCCTTTACGTGTGTGTGTGTGTGTGTGGAATACATATATATGTATGTGTGTCAAATATATATGTGTGTGACAGATATGCACACACACACATGCACACAGTATGGATATACATTTCAAATGAGGACCCGCTGCCAATCCTTGGATTCTCCCACTGACCCAAGACTGCAGCAAGTCTAGACTGCATCCTTCTCCCGGCCCCTGAAGGTACCCCAAGGTACCTGGGAAGGAGGGTAGCAGGGGCATTACCTCACCTTCCTTTAGCTCAGCCCCAAGAAATCCCACTGTGCTGGTCCAACCCTAACATGGACAGAGCAGAAGCATGTGCCACATCCAATCTGATGACTCCAGAGCAGGGCAGACTCTCATGATCATCTGATTTGGAGACAGACATATTTTTAATTGAATGCCTCTTTATTACTTTAGATGCTTGTAACTAAGGGACATTGATAGTAAAATAAAGAAAGTAATTAAAATATTATAATTGACCCATGGCCCCAGTTAAAGTGACTCACACACCCCAGATTTCTGTGTCCCATTCACCAGAGCTCAGGGTCACCTTCTCTCAGACACTGGCCCTGTTCCTTCCACTCGGTATTTATGATCCATTCTCCATGTCTTTGCAAATCTTACCCACCTTCAAGGCACAAGGCAAGCCCACATCCTCCAGGAAGCCTTGTTTCCCTTCCTTGTTTGCTCTCCTCTGAACTTTTTCTAGTCATTAATCCAACCTCTAGATCTTATTATTTGATGAGTTGAGAAAATAGCACATATATTACTCTATCACAAATATTTTATAACAATTTGATAACTGCATTTCATTATAATTGATTTCCTCTGTAATCCTATATATTTTATTTATGCACCTAAAATATTATTCTGTAAAGAGATCCAGAGGCTTCACCCAGTGGGATCATGGCACAGAAGAGGTTAAGAATTTCTGCTGATGCAATCATACTTCTGACTCTCCTATCAGCCCAGCTGAGGGTGGTCTGGGGCCTGGAGCAGCTGGAGGAGCAACCATCAGGACCAAATGCAGGAGCATCCTCAGCAACCATCTCACCTACCCCCTGGAGAGCACTTCCAAGAAGGCCCTGTGGTAATCAGACCAGCAGAGAGCCCTCTTTATGGCAGATGGAGGCTCTAGCTCTTGTCAGACAATGTTACGGAGAATACTAGTTGTCAGGTGAAAAGAAAACTTTGGGCTTAGCCAGCTTGGGCGCCCCCACTGGGACCAAATAGCCCTATCTGTCCTTAACAATGACACCAGGGCCACAGGGCCAACTCTGCTGCTTGTTGGACCACAAGATGGGCCAAGAGAGGCTGCTACAGACTGAATTTCTGTGTCCCCCCACCCCCACCAAAATTCAAATGTTGAAACCTAACCCCCAATTTGATGGTGTTAGGAGGTGGGGCCTTTGGGAGGTAATTCGGTCACAAGGGTGGAGCCCCATGAATGAGATCAGTGCCCTTTTAAAGGAGAACCCAGAGAACTCCCTTCCACCTTCCACCATGTGAGGCCACAGCAAGAAGAGAGCCACCTATGAACCAGGAAGCAGGCCCTCCCCAGGCATGCCTTGATCTTGGACTTGATCTACCAGTGTCTTGCTCTTGAACTTCCAGCCTCCAGAACTGTGAGAACTACACTTCTGTTGTCTATAAGCCACCCTTGGCTTCCATCCTGTTACAGCAGCCTGAAAGAGGCAGAACTTTCTTCAGTCCTCCCCTGCATCCAGATTGTTCCTGGATTCAAATCCCATATCTGCCACTTACTAGTTATATGTGGCTTTGGGAAAGGTGCTTGATGAACCTGTGCTCCTGCTTCCTCACCTGTAATGTAAAGGATAACAGGAATACCTGCCTCTTGGGACTGTCAGGAGATAGCATGAATTCACACACAGGTCCTTTATGAGAGAGCCTAGCATGTAGTGAGTAGTGTGTGAGTGCTGGCTTTTGTTGTTCTGTTGCTATGTATTATTTCCTATTCAGCCACCCACTCTTTGAGTGACATGGGCACATTAGTACCTACCCCACAGAGGTCTGACACGTAGTAAGCATTCAATAGTTATCCATTATTGTCATTTTCACCATGATTTCCAGATCCAAGGGACTGACTTTAGAAAAAGAAGATTCCAGACACCGGGCCTTTGGCTCAACATTGTGGTGTTGGTGTCCTAAAGGAGCCATTGCAAAGAATGATAACCCTGGATTTAGGGGCCACAGTTTGACCTGTGACGTAGCCTAGCTCACATTACAATGAGGATGGAGATGAGTCTAACCAAACTGACTGGTACATGAGCTGCCATCATACTCAGAATACTGAACACTCTACCTTTCCTTTCTGTCCCTGCCTCCCACATCCTTCCAGGACTAACACCACCCTGTCTGGGAAGCCCAGTCTGCCTACTCCAGCCCTCAGGATACCTCTCTGTTGTGAGGTTCTCATCTCTGGCAGTCTACACCTCAGCACTGGGCCTTCTGCTGCCCCGTGAACCGGCCCCAAGCACCTCAATGGCGAAAAATTAACTCCCCTGACCCTTTGTCTCATTGATACCTTCTGACACAGGGCATCTATAATGCAAGCTTAAATAATTCATTCCTGATAGATTGATTAGTTGATCAGTTGCTGGACTGGAGGCCAAGAATAGCAAGAACTTAACTAGTGATAAAGAGCCTGGGGGGGGGGCGGGGGGCGCCTGGGTGGCTCAGTCATTAAATGTCTGCCTTCAGCTCAGGTCATGATCCCGGGGTCCTGGGATCAAGCCCCACATCAAGCTCCCTGCTCGGCTGGAAGCCTGCTTCTCCCTCTCCCACTCCCCCTGCTTGTGTTCCCTCTCTCGCTGTCTCTTTCTCTGTGTCAAATAAATAAATGAAATCTTAAAAAAAAAAAAAAAAAGAGCCTCAGGGATGTTGGAAAGCTACAGTATCTATTCTGTGTCTGGCTTATTGACTTATGGTTATGAACTAGATCTATGTGTATCAACATGGATACATCCTAGAAACACTGTTGAATAGAATTAACAAATTGCAGATGATATGCTAAATCTACTGGAGTGGTCATTAATGCTGTCTACCAAATATTTCTCATTCTCCCGGGCACAAGATTCTCGCTCCTTGGAGTTAGATGAGGCCATGTGACTTGCTTTGGGCAAGACATGACTTGCTTCTGGGTGGAACCTTTAAGGGACAGTGCAAAATTCGTCACTTTTTCCTTCTTCCTCTCTTGGCTTCCATCAGCCTGAGTCCCTCAGTGACTCCAATAAGTAGATCCCCATTAGAGATACTTATCAAGCATGTGTTGGAGTAAGAAATAAACGTGTGTTAAGCCACTGAAATTTGGGAATTATCTGTTACCAGAGCAGAGCCTAGCCCATGGGCATGTGCCCCCACACACAAACACACACACCCACTGATACATCTTTTTAGTAAGTAAATAAATAAATAAATAAATAAATTTTTTTAAAAAAGTATTCAATAGGTCAAATTTCTAAAACTGGTAACAGGAGTGAGTCATGGAATTAGGGGTGGTAGTCAAAAGAGATTTTAGCTTGTATAGAAAATGATCTACTTTAAAAAGTAGAATAGATCTTATTTGATTTTATAATTTTTTTTTAAGATTTTATTTATTTGACACAGAGAGCACAAGCAGGGGGAGCTGCTGCAGAGGGAGAGGGGGAAGCAGGCTCCCCGCTGAGCAGGGAGCCCGAGGAGGGGCTCGATCCCAGGACCCTGAGATCATGACCTTAACCGATTGAACCACCCAGGGTGCCCCTGATTTTATAATTTAAAAAATTACAAAACAACATGGTTATGCCCTCTCGTGTCTTCAACGTGTCCTTTCTTTGACTGGTAGCCACATAACTGCTGTCACAGGGTCATGACCATATCCTTGTCTAGTCAACTTGCTCAGCCCACTGCAACAGACAGACCCTGCGAATCACAGTAGCGAGTAGAGGTGTCTAGCTGAATTGTGCAGGCCGAGCAGCTGCCTCAACACGGGACAATAATGCTGCCTTGGGTCCCTGGGAGAGCAGCCTCTTTCAGGTTCAGGATGGATTGGGGGGCGGGGAGGGCAGCGGGCCGGAGTTTTTTCTGGGCATGATACCAGTCATATAGTGGCTGTATGTTCTCTCTCTGCACAGCATCTCTTTGGGGAACCACCTCTCACCTTGTTCAGTCCCACCACTTCAGGGATAGCAGATGAACCAGGCCAAGCCAATCAGGGAACCCCATTCTGCCGGCTATAGTGATTGGCTCAGGGATGGGCACATGATCAAAGCTGACCAGTCAGAATTCTCTCCAGGACTTCTGCTAGAGCCAGAAAGAGGAGCTTCACCTTTCACGAGGACCACCAGCTATGAGGGTAACATCAGCTTAACACTGCCAGAGTCATATTTGCCTGCCCATGGAAGAGCCTGCCTGAATAAGATGATACAGAAGAAACCAGCCAAGAACTACAGAAAAAGGGAAGATTCCCGGGAACAAGAATTCATTCCCTGGGTCCACCCGTGCCGAAGCCAGATTCATACAAATACATGCACAAACACACACGCGATGATCTTCCTGACTTCATGAATCAATAAGTTCCATTTTTCTATATTGTTTAAATTAACTGAATTGGTTTTCTGCCACTTGCGAATAGAGGGGTCTGTCCTGATTCATATCATGCTCCATCTTTTTTTTTTTTTAAAGATTTTATTTATTTATTTATTTGAGAGAGAGAGAATGAGAGACAGAGAGCATGAGAGGCAGGAGGGTCAGAGGGAGAAGCAGACCCCCTGCCGAGCAGGGAGCCCGATGCGGGACTCGATCCAGGGACTCCAGGATCATGACCTGAGCCGAAGGCAGTCGCTTAACCAACTGAGCCACCCAGGCGCCCTCATGCTCCATCTTTTTCAAAGCTCCTTTGCAGTCCATGTGGTCCTCACATCATCACTATAGAGTGAATGCAGCATAGATTCTTCCACTATTTTACCAAAAGGGAAACTGAGGCCCAGAAAGAAGCAACTTGCCCCAACCCTACAACACTTAGTGTCATTGCCAGGGCTAATGTCAGCATCCTGACTTCCTCATGCAACCACACTGCCCTTGAGTCCCTATTTATATTCTCTGCTGGGAGCCTTTCATCTGCAGGTTGGTGATGGCAGGCAGGGGAACCACACTCTTCCTAGCTGGAAGTAGGACAGGCACATTAATCTCTCCAATCCAGGCATTTTGAATTCACAGATACAATTAGCACAATCCCTCTTCTGCAATTCAGCCTCTGCTGTTAATCATTAGGTCATTAACCTTCACTCTGATAACAAGCTCATGTTTAATTCAAACAGGTCTGTTACCAAGGCAATCAGAATCTCCATCACCTTCCGGGAAGGGGTTGAGGGGTGGGAGTGGTGCGGGGAAAGAGAGGGAGGTTCTGGACCTTTCTCTGGCTTTCAGTGAGTTTTGCCTGATCTCAAGAAAATAACACTGCAGCCTCAGACAAATCATTCTGGTGAACTCCTGGGCTTCAGTTTCTCCAAATGAAAAATGAAGAGTTTAGACTAAACTCAGCTCCAAGATACCAGAACAGTTTCGAGAGTGGGCCACGGGCACACAGCCCTGCCCCCTCCCTGTTCCTCCTCAACCAGGGCAGTTATATTTTTTATGCCTTTTAAATTTTATTTTTACTGTAATATCATCAGAAACATAACCAGTACATTCCTATTGTAAAATATTCAACCAACAAGGGTAAGTTTCCTTGGCCACCTCTGCTAATTCTATTTCCCTTCTCCCTACCCCCAGAGGTAACTTATTAGTTTAGAAGAGTTTTCCCCTTCCAGGCCTGTTAATACATACAGGCATACTCTGAGAAAATGTGTGAGAGTTCTTTCAGTTTTTTTAAATAAATGTAATTTTGAAGATTTATTTTTTAACTTGTTATTTGAACAATATATCTTGAATATAGCCCATCTTAGTATCTAGAATTCTACATTATTCTTTTTACAAGTCACTTCATTGGCAAGGCTTTGAAATAAATCAGTAAAACATTTCCCACTTTCCTGTAGTTGGTCCGTTTTCT